AGGATCCAGCCCCGTTTCCCTGGATCTGGGGCCATTTCCCAGGATCCAGCCCTGTGTCCTGTGATCCAGCCCCGCTTCCCGAGATCCAGCCCCATTTTCCAGGATCCAGCCCCGTGTCCCAGGATCTGGGGTCATTTCCCAGGATCCAGCCCTGTGTCCTGGGGTCTGGCCTCATTTTTCAGGATCCAGCCCCGTTTCCCCGAATCCAGCCCTGTTTCCCCAGAATCCAGGGCCATTTCCCAGGATCCAGCCCCATGTCCCAGGATCCAGCCCTGTTTCCCAGGATTGAGCCCTGTGTCCCTGGATCCAGCCCTGTGTCCTGGGGTCTGGCCCCATTTCCTGGGATCCAGGATCCAGCCCCATTTCCCAGGATCCAGGGACCCGTTTCCCCAGGGCCCATGTCCCAGGATCCAGCCCCATGTCTGGGATTCGGGGCCAATTTCCCAGGATCTAGCCCCATTTCCCACGATCCAGGGCCATTTCCCAGGATCCAGGGCCATCTCCCTGCATCCAGCCCCGTGTCCTGTGATCCAGGCCCGTTTCCCAGGATCCAGGGTCCCATGTCCCGGGATCCAGGACCATTTCTCAGGATCCAGCCCTGTTTCCCTGGATCCAGCTCCATTTCCCCAGGATCCAGGGCCCCATGTCTGGGATCCGGGGCCATTTCCCAGGATCCAGCCCCGTTTCCCCAGAATCCAGCCCCATTTCCCAGGATCCAGGCCCATGTCCCAGGATCCAGCCCTGTGTCCTGGGGTCTGGCCTCATTTCCCAGGATCCAGCTCCATTTCCTGGGATCCAGGGACCCGTTTCCCTGGGGCCCATGTCTCCGGATCCAGCCCCGTGTCCCTGGGATCCCACCCCTTTCCCCAGGATCTGGGGCCATTTCCCTGGATCCTGCCCTGTGTCCTGGGATCTGGCCCCATTTCCCCACGATCCAGGGCCCCATTTCCCGGGATCCATGGCCATTTCTCAGGATCCAGCCCCACTTCCCAAGATCCAGCCCCATTTCCCAGGATCCAGGGCCCCATGTCCCAGGATCTGGGGCCATTTCCCTGGATCCAGCACTGTTTCCCTGGATCCAGCCCCATTTCCCAGGATCCAGTCCTGTTTCCCCAGGATCCAGCTCCATTTCCCCAGGATCCAGCCCCATTTCTCAGGATCCAGCCCCGTGTCCTCTGATCCAGCCCTGTTTCCCAGGATCCAGGGCCCCATGTCCTGGGATCTGGGGCCATTTCCCAGGATCCAGCCCCGTTTCCCGGGATCCAGCCCAGTGTCCTGGGGTCTGGCCCCATTTCCCAGGTTCCAGTCCTGTTTCCCCAGGATCCAGGGCCATTTCCCGAGATCTAGTACCATTTCCCAGGATCCAGGGCCATCTCCCAGCATCCAGCCCTGTGTCCTGGGATCCAGCCCCATTTCCCAGGATCCAGCTCCATTTCCCCAGGATCCAGGGACCCGTTTCCCCGGGGTCCATGTCTCAGGATCCAGCCCCGTGTC